TATGTACGTACCGCCGCTCCACAGTGTGTTTACTTGTATATATACGGTAGAAATGATACATAACTTGGCACAGCATTGTGTTTACCGGATTTGTTTGATAAATTAACTACTAATGTTTTATACTATACTATACTATACACTGGAGGGGATACTAGGCATGCTATATACTAACAAATATAATAGCTGGCTATGGTCTAGCACTTGCCACTTAATTACACGTACAAAATTTGTCTCCAGGGAACTTGAACGCGGAAAGAAAGATTACGTGAAATATCAGACACTTGCAGTAACAGCATGTTTCCTTTCAGGGTTTTTACTTCTAGAAATAAATTCGATTTTTTTTGTCGTTGTGTTCGGAAAAATCAGTAAATTGCATTACCCGGTATGAAATGGACATGCGCACTGATAGTAGTATAACAAATCCGGTGTTCAGAGAAATAGTTGTTTCTTTGTTTGTGTTGCACCGCTACGCATCGAAACAGGCCGGTATGTGAGAATACCTTTGAGTGAAAGAAAGTGTTTCGCTTGTAAAAGCGTGTTAGAAACAGAGAGTCATGTTTTAAAAGAATGTAACTTGTATGATGATCTCCGTTCAGGCCTATTGCAGGAGGCCAGTAATATCACAAGTGATTTTTACAATACGAGTAAAGATAAAAAGTTAGTTGTAATTCTAAGCAACCCTTACCTGGCGAGGTCCTGTGCCAAAACCTGTGTGAATATGCTTAATCGACGTCGCAACTTGCTCTATTACTAAGAAGTAATGTGTCTTTTAATGTCAATTATTTTTATATTTTTATATTGGCAAAACTTAATTAATTATGTGTATGTGGGCTCTATACAAAGTGTCCTCTATGCTTATATTGGTAAAGGCCTATTTGACCACGTGTGTATGAACTCTATATCACACACGGTATTTATCCAGTTGTTTATCTACATATTTGTATATTTGTTTGGCCCTGGGATGGGGGATCGGCGAAATGTCGGTAGGGATTGGCCCAACCACTCTCACTCACTCACAAATCACATCATAGGCCCACATTATTACACGTCTTATACGCTTTTGCCAATTGCATAACTCCAATAATGTTAAAATGCTACTGTTAGCTTTTAATTTATAATTATGTACATATATGTAATACTTTTACAGTCTAGAGTGATAGGGGAAGAGTGAGTGTCTCGTAAGTCTAATATAGACTGGATGTAAGGGTGGGTGAGCAGACATATTTTAGAGATTGTAATACTTGTACCTTTTACATGTGACACTATAATAAACTAATTTGAATTTGAATTGAATTAAATTGAATTGAATTGTTTAACGGCCCATCGACAGCTGTGGTCATATAGGGCCATGGTGATTTATCTATATATTTGATTTTAAAAAAAAACACACATTTGAGTAGCAAAGATAAAATCAGATAAAAATGAATATTTTTAAAAGCATCCGCATTGTATGTGTAAATAACTGAAATAAAAAGGGGTTAAAATAATAAAAATAATAAAAGATATAATGAATAGATGATATGAAATATGTGATATATATATATAACGTCAAATAGGGAAAGGTGGGTTAAACACATTAGAGTCTATGGAATAGGCCGATGTCTTTCAAATAGTTAAATAATGCCACTCTAAAGCATTGGTCTTACCAGGTATTGACACGGACATGCGCACTGCTAGTCGTATAGACACATCCGGTGTTCAGGGAAATAAAAGTCTAAAGTATTGGTCTTACCCGGCATCGACACGGACATGCGCACTGCTAGTCGTATAGACACATCCGGTGTTCAGGGAAATAAAAGTCTAAAGTATTGGCCTTACCCGGTATGGACATGGACATGCGCACTGCTAGTCGTATAGGCATATCCGGGGTAGTTTTGGGATGGCAGTATTCCTCCGACATGTGGTTTAGGTTTGTGACCACAACACAGAGCTCTTTGTTATATTTCTTGTTACGAAAAAGCTGAAAATAGAAACACGTTAACATATAAGTATCAGTTCATGAAGAAATGCGGATATTAACGGTAGAATGATATGATATAGACATCTTATTTTAAAGCAGGTCGTCAACAGATAATTTATCAAGAAACTGACAAATAATTATCAAATTTGATTACGTATATGTCTTGGCTGATAGCACTAAGAGACCTAACAAACGTTTATTCAAACAGTAAACCTAAACACAACATCAATAAATTAATTATCGTCGTTTTATAGAGTGAGGAAGAATTACCCGACCAAACACTAAATTCTTACTTAATTCATTTCTGTCAACTCATACCCCGCAACAACCCTTCAGAATATATCAAACACATTACATAACCCCCAAAAACTCATTCAATTCCAAAAATCAAATTAGCATCCTGCCGACTTACGTAATCACATAAAATGACACGAACCTAGTTTTATTTTGGGTAGATAGATAAACGATTCTAAAGCGAATTGGGATCCCTTTGTCAATCATGATTGAGCTGAGTAAAATTAATGCAAGCATTGTCTAAATGAGCAGATAACTGAGTAGAATTCTCCGAATTTATTTCGACAGAAAATCGTTGCGAATTACTAAATCAAATTACGTAATAATTATGACAGTTCTCAATTTCAGTTATAAATTAGGCTATAATTAATCAAGTTAACGGGAGTGGTTCATTTAACTGCATATTACTTTCCCTTATGTTTACGACCAATTATTTCCATGGACACAAATTAACGAACAAAAAGACAACTATTGCGCATGCCCATGACTTACTTCGGACTGAATAGAAAAGAATTCCCTAAATATTTGAATACTAACAATAGTAACGCGATAGTGTATTCCCAGCAAAAAACAATATATAATGTATGACGTACCTCGCCGAATGTTATATCCGGATCGTTCGTTTTCTTTTTTATTACACTACCAAACCATTCGTATATTCTGTTTCCTGGGTTCCATCCGTAACCTCTCAGTAAATTAGGTAACAGACTAAAGTATCCGAATGATGCATCTGAAAACAAAATCACACATTTAATATATAATAAATAACAAATAATAAATTTAAGGCAAAGAAATCTAATATTTAACAAGTTGTACAGTTACAACTCTCACGTGTAAGACAACAAACAAAATTTGTGTTTACCGCATTTCACTTAAAACATACGAGGCCAGTTTTTATATGTTTAAGGATCAGAATACTTACATCCTGCAGTTAACATTTAAAATCACAATGTCGTAACCCAAAAAAAACACATATGAAGTCTTGCTGTCTTTTAATTTGCTTACTTAATCTGTGTGATGTACATTACACACTGTGTGCTATGTAAATCGTACTTTACTCAGATAATTTGATTGAGATGCCAACATTTTACCGGGTTCCCTTCCCCCACCCCGCATCCCCATAAACAGTATGTAAGATTCAGTATGTAAAACACAAAACGTTTCTAATTGATGTTCAAGTATTTTTTTAAACTTATGAGTAATTACACGTTCTTTTAACGTTAATGTTATGCAATTCTCATTTTATATGGCTTCGTGACGTCACATGTAGGGAAACCGCTGTCGTCTGCTGCTATCATGTACAAAAAGCGTCTACGCAGCGAATAAAATAAACAGTGTCGTTTGACGTAATGGATCTAATGGAGATTTATACAATAATAAGTTTTTTCTCGGAACCAAGTATGTTAAGAAATGCAGACTGCAATAAAGCCGGCAAGTTGTTTTCATATTAAAATATACAGTAATGAACTCCAGGAGTCGGGTAACGTAATCAACAATGTCCAGGTCCAGGGATCCCGGGGTTGAGAAAGATATTGGCTGGTTGCGAAGGCCCTATAACCACGGATAATATTTTGTGAATCTCTTAGAGACGACCTACGAACTAGGTTATGATAAAGCGGTATATAAGAACCTCGAATCATTATTATTATTATTTGTAATGAAGTAAGAGACAGGACAGGACAAGGAAATTACATTTATTGTAACAGCGACCTACATTTTGCCTAATCACGACCAAAATTGATAAGTCTCCGTTAGCAATCCACTTATTTACCAAGTACGAGCTTTGTGCAGCCATTCGTTCTGGTGTTAGCATCCGGCCAAGAAAAACAAGAGGCCCATAGGGCCTGTATCGCTCACCTGGATTATCTAAGCAATCATGGCAGAATATTCTCCAAATGAGATCCATGGGAATATGCCAGACCCCAAGGCCAATCCTTGTAGCATATATATCTGTATTCGATTTTTCATGCCCAGCAATTTTATGTATGGTTACGGGGTGGGGATCTCAACTGTTTCCAACCTGTGACTCAGAAACTAGGTCCCTATGGTTGTGGCCAGACCCCAGGATCAATTCTAATATCATGACTGCATTTGTCTCTTTTTGCCCAGCATTTGTATATATAGTTTTGGGGTGGGGATCTCAACCGTTTCAAAGTTATGACCCAGGGGTTAAGTCTGCAAGGGTGGGGCAAACCCTGGGGTCAATTCTAATATCATGACTGCATTTGTCTCTTTATGCCCAACAATTGTATATATAGTTTTGGGGTGGGGATCTTAACCATTTCGAAGTTATGACCCAGGGGTTAAGTCTCCAAGGGTGGGGCAGTCCCCAAGGCCATCCTGGAAGCATATGTGCATTCATCTCTTTATACTCAGCAATTGTCTATATGGTTATAGGTCGGGGATCTCAACTGTTTCCAAGCTGTGACTAAGAAACTAGGTCCCTAGGGGTTCGGTCAGACCCCAGGGTCTATTCTAATATCATGACTGCATTCGTCTCTTTATGCCCAGCATTTGTATATATAGTTTTGGGGTGGGGATCTCAACCGTTTTTAAGTTATGGCCCAAGGACTATGTTTCCAAGGGTGGGGCCAGACCCTAGGGCCATCCCGGAAGCAAATGTGCATTCTTCTCTTTATACTCAGCAATTGTATATGTGGTTATATGGTGGGGATCTCAACCATTTCCAGGCAATAAACTTTTTTTGGCCCCACCCCTTAGCCTGGGGGGTCAGCCCCACCATTTGTACAATTTTGAATCCCTGCATCCCATGAATGCTTTTGATTAAATATGATCGATATCCAGTGCATAGTTCTACAGAAGAAGTCGTTTGTAGAAATATAGCCAAATTACCCCTTTTTGGCCCCGCCCCTCAGCCCCCTGGGGGGTCAGCCCAACCATTTGTACAATTTTGAATCTCCACAACCTAGGGATGCTTCCAGTCTAATATGGTTGATATCCATCACTTAGTTCCAGAGAAGAAATCGCTTAAAGCAGTTTAGCCAAATTGCCCCCTTTTTGCCCCGCCCCTCAGCCCCCTGGGGGGTCAGCCCCACCATTTGTACAATTTTGAATTCCCACCACCTAGGGATGCTTCCAGTCAAATTTAGTTAAATTCCAATAAGTGGTTAAGAAGAAGAAGAAGTCGTTTAAAGAAATTGTTGACGGACGGACGACGGACGACGGACGGACGGACGACGGACGCCACGGTATGGCATAAGCTCACCTTGGTCCTTTGGACCAGGTGAGCTAATAAAACTGAAGGACAGACAAACGGCTATAACTCACGTTGGATCCATTAATACACGTGTTTTCACTTAAAACTAAATGTATTTCTAGACACCAGTTCTTTAAAATATTTTGAGCAGTTCAGAAATGTGTAACAGTCTGCTATTGAATATTTTGCTCTCAAAAAGTATTCGTGAAATCCACAAAGTATACTTTCCGCATAAACAACTAGCTGTACCCATGCATATCTTACATGTACATTTACATAAAGATAAATGGTTGGTTACGTATTTATTTGTAGATTTTAATTGATCTAATGACACATTCCATCTTTGTGAAGCATTATAAACAGAATGGCGAACGAGAGATATTCCATGAACATGAGCAAACAGTGGAAGGATGTATCGTGGGATTGTTTCCACCTTTGGGGAAATTCAAATGCAGAAAAAACTAAGTTGCATCAAAAGTGCGATGAAATCACAATTTGCTAACTGTCACGTTTCCATGCCTGTGTGCTCATCACGGGACGTCGTGCCATCAGACTGTCTAACACGTGATATCGGAGACAATGAACGGACTCTTACGGGAGTCCCTGTCCAATAGCTCACTGCAATACGACGATTAATGAGGCAAGTATATCCCGTTATAACAAGACAACATAGATTGACGTTCTAGAACCTTCCTTCAAAGTAGTTTCTCCCAATAGTCAGCTATCCCTGTGTATCTACACAGTAATAATACCTTTCGTTTGAATGTGCGGCGCTTCCATACATGCTTCGAAACGTGATATAATTCTATCCAACATGGTTTACTCTATATGAAACACAAACACTGGTAAAAAAACGAGTCTCTGCCGGTTTTTGAGATTTACATATGCATTTTACATAGAGATACATTATAGTCATACCAGATCATATACATAACTGGCTGCCATCTTGTTTTTTTCCGCANATCGGAGACAATGAACGGACTCTTACGGGAGTCCCTGTCCAATAGCTCACTGCAATACGACGATTAATGAGGCAAGTATATCCCGTTATAACAAGACAACATAGATTGACGTTCTAGAACCTTCCTTCAAAGTAGTTTCTCCCAATAGTCAGCTATCCCTGTGTATCTACACTGTAATAATACCTTTCGTTTGAATGTGCGGCGCTTCCATACATGCTTCGAAACGTGATATAATTCTATCCAACATGGTTTACTCTATATGAAACACAAACACTGGTAAAGAAACGAGTCTCTGCCGGTTTTTGAGATTTACATATGCATTTTACATAGAGATACATTATAGTCATACCAGATCATATACATAATTGGCTGCCATCTTGTTTTTTTCCGCACAGTCTTAAAATAAATAATGTACAACTATAGACAAAAAATAAATAATGGAATTTGAGAAAAAATCGTTCAATGCTTCTTCAGAAATAGTTATAACCAGAACTGTTGAACGACGGACGGGTAACGGACGAAAAGGCGATCTGATGATGGCGGGCTAAAAAGTTGACGCAGAACAACGGGCAGGTGAGCTAAATATGTATCAATAAAAACTCCCCGAGTTAAAATATTATTTACCTAGAAAATAGTGCGACAAGTCTTGACTCAGGAACTCTTCTATTTCATACGAGTTGTAGCCGACGGCGAGTAGAGCCGCTGTCATGGCGCCAGCGCTAGCACCAGCTAGGCGTTTGACCTTCGGGAAGGCCCCTATCTCCTCTAGGACCTGGAAAATACATTTCAACAACAGCATATTATACTTATCCTGATATAAAAAAGCAAAGACAGACTGAACTCGGATTGGCGCCAATTGGTATGGTAATGGTAACATCTAGGCTTCTAAACATTTAGGGGGGAAATCGCAACACCCGTAAATTTGAATGAGTATGTTTACATAAAACAGATTGCTTGGTCTGACGGGAAATGCAACATGAAATGTTGATTTTTTTTCCCATCTGTTTTTCAGTATTTTTCATAAATACGATTAACGGAGTTCATGTCGGTAAAAAAATGGATATAAATATTTTATTAACCAATAATTTCTGTATATTCCTTAAAAACAACAGGCCACGATTACCAGCCGTTGCTTAAAAAACAGTTTGTGGGACAGGGGTTTGATTTCGGAAACAAAGTCAAAATGAAAACATATCGTCTAATACATTGGCGGGTTAAAAAGATATCAACATTGACAAGAAATCTTGTCGTTTTAGAGGCGCCCAGCGGGGTATGTGTAACATTATGTAAATCATCGAATTCTTTACGGCACGTGAAACAATTTGTGGGACCCCATAATAGCTAAATGGAAATGTGTCGTCCAAAGCGATATCAAATTAGTGCCGGTTGTAAACTTCAATTTGACAGAGATTCATATAATATGCTTTCATCGGGTTACGATATATTCATGAAAAAATCTGTTGAAAACGATCTTTGAAGCTTATTGGGTATATTTGTCGAGTGAAAACATGGAAGGAGAGTGTGTTTGTGCTTCCGTACCGTTCTCTCAGCGTCAGACGCAACGACTTAATTATTGAAGATAATGATTGGTGATTTGAAACATTATCTCAATTATACTAGTCAGACACGTGCCAGTAGTTTAGATAATAAGTGGCAATAATGACAAATGCCATCAGTAGGGGGTGTTGATTTACATATATACAAAAATGTCACTGTCTGGTATGACAATGTGGTTCTTTCCGACCGACATGACAATGAATTAAGTAGTCCGAATTATTCTGACGTTTTATCGACTTTTTTATATCGGTCTGTTGTCGATTAACGTCAGAACTCCGGCCCTCTATAATATGCGGGAAATAAGCGACCCGCGCCTGGGTCGCTCTTCAAACTGATATTTTAGAAACAAATCGTTACTTTCACACACATGTCGCACATGGATCGAAAGACGCGGAAGGACGACGGACGCTGCGGTATGGCATAATTAATAAGATCATCATGGTCCTTCGGACCAGGTGAGCTAATAATGATCATATGTCATATACCCACTTCTTCTTTTTTCTCGAATTCAGGCCAGAATGTTACTATTGCGTCATACAAATTACGATCATTTCATGTGGTTAAATATTACAACTACGGTCGTACTAGGAAAGGAACACAACGAAACTTCTGTGTAACGCCCTTCGCTTCATTACCATGAGATTTACTGCCGATATATTTCAGGGTTCATATTTTACATTAACATATCGTCCCTATCGATACACACTGTATTCCCTGATCACCTGATGACGACAAACGTTTGAAAGTCTGTTTCTCACTCACCCGCACGACACCACAGTATGCCAAACCCTTGTTGCCACCTCCCTCGAAAACCAAGTTCTCAAATGGATATTCATAATCTGCAACGTCAACCTTCATCGCTGTTACTTCCAAGTCGTTCAGGATTGATGGCATTTTATGGTACTGTCGTCTCTTGTTCACTGTAATGAATGGTACAAAATACAATAAGTCGTTGTTTATTTATTTATTTCATAGTATTATACAATAGTCATTCTGTATATCACACGTGGTACTTTATATAAATTAGGCGGTATATTACATGAAGTGCTATTTATAAAGTATGTGGTTTACTACATATAGGTCAAAGTTATTTACATGGGTAAACTTCAGAGCACTCTATGAAAGGTACCTACTGGCCAAATATCAGGACGTTGGTCAATCAGGACTTGAGGAGTAGATTCTTACCTTGTAGATACAATGTTAACATTTGACCCTGGTCAACGCTTAGTGTTGATCTTTGACATAAACACCATATATTTCATGTACAGTGCAAAAAAAGGACTCGCACTGTTGGTCTACTTAAACATATATACCCAAGTATCTTTGTTCTAGAACATCTGTGTCTTGAGAAAATGTTGCTTAAATGTTTTTTAATCATTTTGACCCTTGGACCTTGAAATAAGGTCATTCGAAGTTAATTCGTATGCGAACATTTTATAACACTTCATCCGAAGTACCCACTGGTAAAATACCAGGACCCTGGGTCTTTCAGTTTTCAAGAAGTTCTTTAAAGTAAAAACTGACGGACAGACAACGGACACCAAACATACCATAAGCTCACAGGCACTTCGTGCCAGGTGGTCAAACAGTGACATAGACAACGGAAATTGACAGACACAAAATCAAATCAAAGGGTTTACAAGTTGACAACAACAACAATACAAGGAAGTTCGTCAAAAGTATCCAAACAACACGAGAAAGAAAACTCTGTGTTCGTTTACTTTAGTTGTGTTTATAAACAAAATATTTATAAAAGTAACATGTATTTGATATAAATGTCGAAAAGACTGTTCTAATATCAGACCCCAGATTAGCCCGCGCTTGCTGACAATACGCCTGGAGAGTTCATCGAAAGTATGAAACAACACAACAATGAAAACTCTGGGGAACTGTTCGCTGTTTTAAAAGTTCTGTTTGTAAAGCATGAGAGCGTAAAGCATGGAAGCATAAGTACCAAACATGTATAAGATAAAAATGTTACGATAAGACAGCTAACCCTCGACATCTATTGACCCCGTACATGGGCTTATTGAGATTCAGATCCATTCTTTGAGTTTAAGACACACTGGAGAGTAGACCTTTACAGTATAATACAATGATATACATTATAATCGTTAATCATAATACATTGACATACGTTGTACACCATAATCGTACATTAAGATATACAATGACAAGCATTGGTAACAATACAGCATATTGCAATGAAATACAATGTAATCGAGTTTAGCACGATAAAATTACATCTATTACATCGGTATAGTTTGAGACAGAAACTTACTACTGTAATATTTCACATTTTGCTAAAGATCACCTATATTTTGAAAAAATCAAAATCAAAATGTTAGAAAAGATATTAAATTTTCCTTCCATACTGTTTTGGGCGAATATGTTAGCCTTCCGAATCGTCCTGTGTGGGTGTTCAGTCTAACATAAAATCGCGCGCACGCTTTTATGTTTGAGCAAACCCCTTTCAAAAGCTAAGCTAGGGTAAGTAAGGCGTTGTTCAAATCGTTAAGAAAATCAATTTGATGAATATTCTTTGCGTGTTTTTGTTTTAATATGGCACAAAGACGAACCAGACAACGGTTAAATGACGGTGAAATGCATAGGGGCATCGGAATGCTGCAAGCTAGCATGTCTCAACGTCATGTTGCAGCAGACCTTGGGGTTTCTCAAAGTGTGGTGGCAAGAATGTGGAATCGTTTCAAAACTAACGAAAATCCTACCAGACGTCATGCTGGAGGTCGTTCGAGGGCTACAACGCAGCGCCAAGACCGATTTTTGCTCATACAGGCACGGCGTCACAGGTTCCAGACTGCCACAGCTTTACGAAATGACCTCATAAATGCTTCTGGTACCCGGGTAGCCACTCAGACAGTGAGGAACCGTCTTCATGATGCTTGTGTACATGTCCTTGACATGTACGACTGAAATCGGTCTGGTATATGATATAATTTCTTATTTCAAAATCATTATGAACATTTAATTTCGCTAAAATAATCTTAATTTTCTCGGAAAGAAAAATCAAATGTTCCTTTCCGATACCTGGATATTAACTTGCGCAAGTGTGTGACTGTTTAAAAAATATAGAAACGGCCGGATTGGCCAACCCAAATGAGGGTAAAATGCAGGCTATATATAATACATACTAGATTACAGGCAAAAACTGGATTATTTTTATGGGGTTTCCGGTTTGGCTTTTCGCGGTAGACACGTAAACTGCCAAAATAAATAAATTGCATCCAACTCGCATTTTGTTTCTCCGAGCTTTCTATTTTTTTGTCTTTTTCTGTACCCCAGGCTAGAAATTCTCTCTTACAGTTGTAAAATCCAGTTAATAATGAGAGCGAACGGCTGGGGTTAGTTAGACCTTGCGTGTTACAATGCTTTTTTTGGCCTCTAGATGTTTAAATACCGTTAAACAAATAACGTAGCCGCCAAAATATAAACTCCCAACATCTTGTAGATCGCCAGAATATAAATTGCGAATTGTTGGAATATAAATTTTACGATAAAATCGCCAAACACCGTTCACCATAATCACAAAAATAACCGATTTGTATAGTCTTTATACAAAACACCGTGTTAGTGTCGGTGTTCCTATTTAGTGCAACACTGGGCTTTGAATTGAAGCAAGGGATCCTGAGTCAGTCAAAGATTATGTACAAATGGCATGACCAAAAATTAAGAAAGAATATTTGAATCCTACCAGCCGTCGTGTTGTTTCGTTTCCCTGTAGAGACACCTAGAATATCGAACACAGACAGACATAAACGATATGTAATTTATCAGTCTGTACGTATACTACATTTAGGTTAGGAGAATGAAAAGGAAACCAATTCAAAATCACGTTTTTTCTCAGTTAAACAAGATCTACGAAAATCGTGCACAAGAAAACCGCAAACCATTTTAGTTTTGCGTTGATCTGCATTCTGTATATGACCAGGGCCTGCATTCATGAAACCGTTCTCATGCTCAAACTCGGATTCTGTGCTCGAGTCAAATTTCTTAATCCTGTAATCATTTAATAAAAAAAAAAAAACATATTTTGTTAATAAATATGGAAGAATGTTGGAGAAACTAGAAGCCGAATACTGTTTCTGTTTACACTTGACTTTATTATCGTGTTACATGATTTAAGCAAGTAACAAGAAAGTCGGCTTGGGCACAAAATCCAAGCTTAAGCATGATTATGGTTTCATGAATACAGGCCCTGCTATTTGTAGCTGTTGTCATGAAGTCACAATGGACGAGAAAGTCATTTCCTGAAACTTCACTGTGACAGAAACTTTAAACGTTTCAAACTGACGTCATGTTCGCTTAGTTCAAGACTTATCTCATGCTCTAGCATATATTTTGTGCTCGGGCCGAATTTCTTGTTACCATAATAAAATAATTAAAAATATTATGTCAATGATTTAGAAACACATTGAACAGAGTTAAAGCCGAATACTGTTTTCAATGTTTGTATTTGACTTTTTGATCGTTTGGCATGATTTTAGCGAAGTTACAAGAAAGTTGGTTGGAGCACAGAATCTATGCTTGAGCATGAGAACGGTTTCATAAATACAGGCGCTGCTATTTGTAGCCTTTGTCATGACGTCACAATAGACGAGAAATAGTCAATAGGACGGAATCTTTAAACATTTCAAATGTTTTCTTAGTTCAAGACTTATCACTTGTGTCTGCTGTCGCTCAAATGATTTTTTCGTCGAATACATCCATGGACTCAGCAATTTTTAACAGTATTCAAAAACGCCATGAGGTATCATTATGATGGCACTATAATTTCATCGTTTGAACAAAACAAAACCTGGCAGCTATGTATTATCATCAGGTAGGTGGAGTTTTCGCTGAATTATATTACACTAGAGTAAAATAAACGTAATTCTATCGTAAATAGTACTGGAGTGTCACATTTATATTTGTATCGAAAAAATCTCGATTATATTGCTGACAAGCCTAGATTTAAAATTTTCCATATTTCCGTTTGCTTATGAAAGCGCATACGGCTTATCTGAATACCTTTATACTCATTTCAACTTTAAGTGTGTAATTGAAGTAGCACAATGAATAGTGATAAAGATGGTGCCGTCGCTGGGGTTCGAACCTGCGACCTTTGGCTATCCAGCCTGATGCTCTACCGCTGAGCTATAGGGAAATTCCCTACCGCTGACGCTTGTAAAGCAACCTAATCAATGCATATTTTTTCTATAAAATACCAAACTGTTTATTACACTATAACTTGTCGTCAATGAAAAGTGCAGTTTTGCTTTTCCTAATTAGGCAAGTTGTATTTACGAACATATCTCAAATATGTCTACTGCGTATAATGGAATAGGTTTAAGGTTTAAACGGGAATGTGTTGCAAACAATCATAAAAAAAAGTTCCTCTCATATAAATAATAGTGGAATTCGAAATATAATGGCACTGGTTATATAATGAGTAAAATTGAGTAATATGGGAGACCCTGTACAAGAATAAAACTACCCCCTTAACCCCCCAGTAAAATTGAGTAATATGGGAGACCCTATACAAGAATTAAACTACCCCCTTAACCCCCCAGTAAAATTGAGTAATGTGGGAGACCCTGTACAAGAATTAAACTACCCCCTTTACCCCCCAGTAAAATTGAGTAATATGGGAGACCCTGTACAAGAATTAAACTACCCCCTTTACCCCCCTGTAAAATTGAGTAATATGGGAGACCCTATACTCTTTACCCCCAGTAAAATTGAGTTATATGGGAGACCCTATACTAGAATTAAACTACCTCCTATATCCCCCAGTAAAATTGAGTAATATGGGAGACCCTGTACAAGGATTAAACTACCCCCTTTACCCCCAGTAAAATTGAGTAATATGGGAGACCCTATATTAGAATTGAACTACCCCCTTTACCCCCCAGTAAAATAGGGTAATATGGGAGACCCTGTACAAGAACTAAACTACCCCCTTTACCCCCACCCCTTCTTCGTGTATGCACAATTCTCTTCTTGTAACGCTGTGAGATCCCACAACTGTATATACATAAAGCACCATACAGAGGAAATAACATCGAAACCTTAAAAACCTAAAGTGGAAATTATCTTTCAAATCTTGGAGCTTTTCGGTATAATTATCAGAGTTAGCATTGTGCTATGTCAGTACAGTGGAAACCGCATTAATTCTTAGCGAAAGAAGTCTGGTTAATGGAATGACATGGAGATTATGAAAATTTTGTGTAGAATAAGTCAGTCCCTTAAAACACTGATTGTGGTATAACTGGATTAGCTGGGGATTGAAGACCGAGTCAAGACTCCATTTACGCAATAAAGTTATACATTATGTATATTTTTATGCATATATTTAGTCTAGTCAAGGATTACAGGATTACATAAAGTTGTGATAAAATGGACAAGGTACGAATATATTTAAGTAATAAAAATTATACATTGTTATGCACATATTTGGCCAAAATATATTGTCTAGCCAAGAACGAACCTTTATCGTCTACTTCATCAGTCGACCCATTTGACCCGACGCCATTTTGGAGATCTTCTAATCGCTCGCACTCGTGCAACCGTTCGCTCACGAGACGGTGGCGCTGTTTCTGTAATTGCACTTTAGCGGGATGCTTCCGGTCAACAACTTCCTGTGGGTCAGGTCTCCCGTAGCTTAGAGCGTTCCCCATCTAAAGCATAACAACAAAGTTTCAGAACGTCATTTTGGTGGAGCACAGTTCTGTGGTAAATTTTTATATTAATTTATAGTTGAGTTCCGCTTTAGAACCACTCTCAACCAGGACCTATAAATCACATGGTGCAAAAAAAAGCAACTATATTTGATTTATTTTTGCGAAAATACAAATGAAAAAAATCGCGTGTGATTTTTTTTGTGTCTGAATTTATTTAACTCGAATCTTAAGCTATCTCCAATTCTTCAATGCTCTCAAATCTCGGCATAACGGGTTCCATCATTTGGGGTGAAATGGCCGGCTGTGTCCCATATTACGTCGTTAGAGGCGACTAATGAGGGGCGCCCTGCAGAAACAGCGTTTTTCTTTTGTGTCGTCTTTAGTTTAAACATATTTTATTGTACAAATATACAAATGGATCGGACAACAAGTTATTATAACTTAATAGAGTCCTCTCCTCAATACATATTGTAAAAATAGTGTATATGTTCTTGGGGAAAGGGAAAAAGATAGGCTGAGAAGGGAAATGTGGAGTGGGAGGAGGTTGGGGTGATGGAGGGGAGGGGTATTACCTAGAAAAGTAAACGTGTAAACTGAGAAATCGATCCGCATTTGAATAAATTATAAATTATACAGATTTCAAGACATGCATTCTGGTAGAGTTATTTCAAAATGAACAGAATCAATGTAACAAATAAATCAGGCATAATAATGAAATACAATTTCATAAACACATAAAAATAGAAAAAGTAATTATAACTATCAAAACCTATTGCTGGATTTGATGTAATGATGCACATGTCTAAAGATACTTTAGTGTCGTCTGCTAGAGGGATGCAGAGGAAATCGAAACTGGTCTGCTGTCCTTTTGCAACAATTGTGTGAATATTTATTACTTTCTCGCTTCTCTACCCTTTTTGCGGCGGTGTCCATTGAAGCCGGTTTCATATGACCCAGCTAGTCGTTGAGAGGATGCTAAAATCCCAACCAATCAAGCATAGAGTAACAAATAGAGTTAATTCGATGTAACAGTTTTATTTTGTTCTGTTTCGATTATAAAATATGGAATCAGGGAATCTGATATTACAACTTTTCTGGAAAGCTCCTCATGTGGGTTACATTCGCGTATCCCCGTTGAAACGGTTCAGGTGGCGCAGAAATAGTTCACGATAAACGAACGCAGTTGGACCGAACTATAGGCAGAGTTAAAACATGCACGGGTTTTGAGAATATAAAACAACATATCAAGAATAATATGTCCTTCTTACACACACGTCCATTAAATAACATAACATGTCTTAAAATTTGCATGTGTCTTGGTCTTGTTTTATAAAGAAATAACGCAAACTAGCAATAATCAACATTTTTGTTTCGGTCAGACACGTCAGTATTCCTGAGGTCAGCCTCGTTTCAGATCCGCGCCTGTCGATCGTTGGGGGGG